GGTTTTTTATTGGTTATGCCTGTCTGGTTTGCCACAATTTATTACTAGCACACCTGGTCCATCTTTTAATGGTGGAATTTGGCCAAATCAACCATTTTTTAAAAACGTTCATTTTGCCGCTTCCCATTGGTTGGCAGTGGTCCCATGAGACATACATCAAATCTGTTTACTCGTTACTGTCAACCTCTTGGAAATCACCCAAAGTTCATTGGGTTATTCAAGTTCACTGGTACAATCCAATGTAAACCACTGACACTGCCCAATGGAAGGGCCCTCATACATACAATCCTCATTAAGACATCCAGTATTGAGAATAACTAAAGATATTGATTAGTATATTGATTACTTTCATGATTATACATAATATTTTGAGTAAGATAATACCATATTGAGTAAATAACATAAAAGGTAATAGAAATACACAATACTCTCTGGCTGTTGGTGCCTCCAGGAGTGCTTGTGGTGCCATGGTGGATGCTGTCAAGTGGTGCGATGTGGTGATGTAGGCTGTAGCAAGGTGTGGGTCCTCGAGCTTATGCAGCAGGTGTCGAGGCTGTGTCACCTGTCATCCTGAAGTGAGTTGGTCTGGGTAAGATGGTTGTTGTGGATCAGTCGGGTTAGACTCTCACTGGTGAAAGTGCAGGTGGTTCCAGGGATTGCAGTGAACTGCTATGGAGATTCTGTAGTGTGCAGAGAATTTCAGACTGACCTAGTGATGATGGCAGGAGAGCAGCAGGTGGTTGTTAGCCCTCAGTTTTGCTTGAACGTCACACGTCACTAGATGTTAACGGTGTCGCTTTGCTCTTGTGGCGGCACCGACTTGAGTAAAGTCAAGTCACCTGTCACCTTGGTTCGCAGTTGGGCATGTGGGCCCGTTGCTCCATCCAACGTTGTCTGGCTGCTTCTGGGGTGTAAACTGGTTTTAAGGGATGCTCCTCCCTTGGATGGGTCTGCTGCTGTGTTGCGTCCCGGTTCCGTGACAGCAAGAGGACAATAGTAAACACTCAATTTTTTAAAGTCAGTTCATCATTGATTCATCATTGAATTCATCATCCAGCTCAGTTCAGTTTAAATAGTATCTGTGCAATCAAGTCAACGATATCGCTGATATCGCTGGATCCCCAACTAAGCAAGCCAGAGGCAACAGTGGCAAGGAACCAAAATGCCATCATGACAGAATGGAGAAAATAACCTTGGGAGAAACCAGGCTCAGTTGGCAGGGCCAGTTCTCCTCTGGCCAGACAAAACCAGCAGTTCAATTCCAGGCTGCAGCAAAGTCACATTGTGCAGA